AGGGCTAGCCATGAAAATGCCAATAGTGAGCGAAGCTGCACGTCCCCGGGGGGATTGAGCCACGGCCAAACTGCTTGTGAACCAGCTAGGGGGAGGGGGGTAGTTAACTATGAAGTTTCAGGCGACTGGAGATTCCTAGCAGAAGCTAGCTTTCGTGTTTTTGAAGCTTCCAGTCCCGTATTCCAGCGGCCAATGAAGTCAATGTCAGCAAAGGGCTGTGACTTTGGGAAGCCGGACGTCAGAGATCGACAGATTAAACTGCGGACCCAAATAAATACGTCTCTTTGATCTGTCATGATCTGTCCATTATGTCCGCAGTTTACCTTCTTTGGGTCTCTGTGTGTATCCTTTGTTGTCCTTCCACACAAAAGGTGCCGAGGTCTTACATGTGCCACGCTTTGCCACCGAGGTCTGCATTGCAAGCACTGTATAGTCAGCCGGGGGCTCTTTTTTGCCCGCGAATCGGTGTTTGTTGTTTTTTCGATCTGTTTATTGTGTTTTGTCTTCGGTGTATGTTTTTATGCTTCTTCCGAGCTGGCTAGGCATTGGCCAAAACTGATAGATGCTAATAGCAGCTAACATATGCATAGGCCCAACATGGCCCAACTTGGTGCTGGAATTGCGTATCTAAACAACATGAAATGACCACGCGCAGCAATGAGGTGTCCAGTCTGCAGTCTCCAGTCTCATCCAGTGATGTTCAATGAGAGTTCAAAAACCGCGTCTTGCGTAAAGTTCATGAAACAAATTGAAACAATGTTCATTCAATGTTCATTCAATGTTCATTCAATGACTTCAATGACTCATTCCACAACTTCGATCCTGCCAGCTATCTCCATGGTCACGTTCCAGTTGTTCCCGTGAAATGGTGGATTTCACCTCAACGGATCTCAACACTGCACAGTCACAACACTGCAGTGATACGTAGATAAATCATTGTAATCATTTGCGAAGTCGCAACATGTCACGACTTGTGCTATCTCCTGACGTTATTTTTGAATGCTCCTGATCTTCCTGGTCCTCCTACGTCCTCCTATATCCCGCCGATCACCTCTATTTGTCATCATTTGCAGCACAGTTTTCGCGATTCTGTCTGTCTCAGTACTCATTATACTCATTGGTCTCATATTGGTCTCATATTGGTCTCATATTGGTCTCATATTGGTCTCATATTGGTCTCATATTGGTCTCATTGGTGGCACTGGTCTCGGTCTCTCCGAGCTGCTGGCTTTGGGCGATGGTGCAGAACCTTCGAAGCCTGTCATGGCGAGCGCACCGACCATGGGGCATTCCATGGCACCGACCGTCGCTGGCCCGGCGCATTGCCATGCGCCACATGCAGTGCCTTCTCAGAAGCCATGCGTATGCCGTGCGTATGCCATGCGTTGCCGGTTGCCCCGCGGCCCCGCCTTCTCCTCTTCGAGGAACCAGGGGACTGCGGCTTTGAGTAACCCCGACGAAAGACCTAGCGGCGACTCCAAAGTAATTTCCAAATATCTTCAAATAAAGTTGCATATAACCTTGCAGGGAAGTTGCGTAGTTTTGAAGATCGAAGTGGCTCCAAAAGTTGTTCGGAAACAGAGATCTGAGAGCTGCATCCCAGTTCTTCGGTTTGAAATCTGCAGAAACAAAATGAACACCCTGAGGCAGCAGCAACTTCAGCAAAGCGCAAGCCAGCAATGTGCTCACCCTCACACACACACACAAAATCGGTCAGGCATCTCATTTGAGATTGGATAATGCTGTTTACTGACGAGAAGTGTCCTGAAACTCACCAAGTTCTCCAGACCTAGCATCAGCCGTCTCTGCATCGATCACTGTAAATGCTTGCAAAATCACAAAATCAGGGTGGTAGGTGGGATGCAAAATATGTGTATGTTGTCGGATATAAGCACATAAAAGGTAGATAGATAGATAGATAGATAGATAGGTAGATAGATAGATCGATAGTTCGATAGGTGGATAGATCGATAGTTCGATCGATCGATAGATAGATAGATAGACAGAGAGACAGATAGATAGACAGACAGCCAGACAGATAGATAGATAGATAGATGGAGAGATAGATAGATAGATAGATAGACAGAGAGACAGATAGATAGACAGACAGCCAGACAGATAGATAGATAGATAGATGGAGAGATAGATAGATAGGTAGATAGATAGATAGGTAGATAGATAGAAAGGTAGATGGATGGATAGATAGACAGACAGACAGATAGATAGATAGAGAGAGAGAGAGATAGATAGATAGATAGATAGATAGACAGACAGACAGCCAGACAGATAGATAGATAGATAGAAGATCGATGGATAGATAGATAGATAGATAGATAGATAGATAGATAGATAGATAGATAGGTAGATAGATAGAAAGGTAGATGGATGGATAGATAGACAGACAGACAGACAGACAGATAGATAGATAGAGAGGTAGATAGATAGAAAGGTAGATGGATAGATAGATAGATAGATAGATAGACAGACAGACAGACAGATAGATAGAGAGAGAGAGATAGATAGATAGATAGATAGATAGGTAGATAGATAGAAAGGTAGATGGATAGATAGATAGATAGATAAATAGATAGATCGATAGATCGATAGATCGATAGATCGATAGATCGATAGATGGATAGATAGGTAGATAGATCGATAGATCGATAGATCGATAGATCGAATAGATCGATAGATCGATAGATCGATAGATCGATAGATCGATAGATCGATAGATGGATAGATAGGTAGATAGATCGATAGATCGATAGATCGATAGATCGAATAGATCGATAGATCGATAGATCGATAGATCGATCGATCGATCGATCGATAGATCGATCGATAGATAGATAGATAGATAGTAGATAGTAGATAGATAGACAGATGATAGACAGAGAGACAGACAGACAGATAGATAGATAGATGGATAGGTAGGTAGATAGATAGACAGACAGATAGATAGATCGACATATAGACAGACAGATAGATAGACAGACAGACAGACAGATAGATAGACAGACAGATAGATAGAAAGACAGATAGATAGGTAGATAGATAGATAGATAGATACGTATCTAAGAACTGAACTGTATCTCTCTCTCTCTCTATTAATATGTATTTGGCCTACCTAAGGCTTCACAAATCCAAACCAAACAGATCTGGCAGAATCTTCCCCCATCTCCAGTCGACAACCAAAGGTATTTTCCCGACATCGCGCTGCTCCCGACAAGCCTCAGTGGCCAAGAACCTTGGTCGTGCGATTTCAGTGCTCCATGCATCATAGAATTCATTGTTGCAACCAGGGGTTGGAAGAATTCCCAGTTTTTAGGGTGTGGTGTGATGTGATCTGATGTGATCTGGTTCTACGTCATTCTTTTCTGCGTTTCATTCTGCTTCCGCTGTGGCATACCGCAATGATTACTGGAATCACACAAAGCATGCCAATTGCACGAATCACGTCGTTATATATTCATGAAGATGCAAGCAAAACCTCGTGAAAACAGATCGTTGGAGCTCCTTTGAATAAAGAACTATTCCATGAGAATGTGATGTGTATCAACAGCTATCAATAACTACGTACAAATAGGGACACCAAATATGATGCGATTACATTCAACATCATTGAATCAGTTTTCAATTAGATGTTCTACAAAAAACATGCGTAGACATTAATGTAAACAATAACGTGGACAATCGTAGACATTAATGTCTATAATGTAGAGATTAATTAATCCAGGCGACTTTTTTGTAGACATGTAGATTCTTCAACACAGTTTCAGTTACCCTTACGATAATGACTTGGCTAAACTTGTGGTAAGAGAACTTGCATGACTTGGGTTGTCAAAGGACCACGAGTCTGTCACAACGTGTCTCGGTGACATGTCAACGCCTGGCGCCAGCACCGCAGCGCTAGAGACACGACAGACACGCCAGACACGACAAACACATCTCAGACACATCTCATCCAAGGAATAAGATGGAATAACTAGATGCCTCAGGATGTCTCAGGCACGAGATGTGTCGCTTTTTGTTCGCACGACCGAGAGTGTCAGTAGCCCTCGGACGGGTCTTCGTCCTCCTCGTCTCCACGCCTTGTCTCAGTCTTGGTGCGGTTGCCCCGCGCCGCTCAGTGATTTCGGCGGCTTGCCCTGCTTGCCCCGCTTGCCATACTTGCAAACAGAGGGAAGATCGGTGAGGTTTATTGTATAGTTATTGTACATATTGAACACAACTTATTTTATAGTTGCTCTTTGACGTTTTTCGTACATTATTTTGATGATTCCGAAAAATTGGAGCGGTTCAAACGTCACGTGGTTCAAGTGCCATCAGGTTCAAGGACAAAGCATATCTTGACATGCTGACATGTTGATTAGTATTGATAGGTTGATCTATTAATAAGTTAATTGATATGATACTTGTCTGTCAGTGTCAACTACGACGCGTTGCGAGACGTGCGCAGTGAGTACTTCGCGAGACACGAGCTCACAATAGCTCACGTCTCTCCAAACGAAACAGCACTGACTGAGACTCGCAGAGACTCGCAGAAACACGCAGAGTCAGAGACTTGGAGAGTTGCGTGGAGGCACAGCTTTCTGAGGACCAATACATGAGTTTTTTCGAAGTTTTCTCACGCTTTCTTTGTTGGTTCCAACGTTCTGAGAACCACGCGTCGAGCCATCGCTTTGCAGCTAGCCCGGCCCAGTGTCTTGAATGGAGAGTCGGCTAATCGAAGCCGGTGATTCGGCGAGTCAAAGAAAGATATACCCCGAAGGCACAGATCAACACAGATCAAACCAGATCGGAGTGAAAAGGTGAAAAGGGCAATGCAAATGATACAAATGATATCAAATGATACAAATCATACAAAGCTTTGAGTTTTCCATCTAGAGTCTAGAGTCTAGATGGTCTAGATGGTCTAGATGGTCTAGATGGTCTAGGAATGCTCTGCCGTGCCCCCCTCATGCCGCTTTTTGCCGAGGGCAGCCTATCCCAGCCACGCATCAGCAGGACATGGGTAGCCGACCTGGCACTTGACACAAGCCGAGTGACAGCCGCACCAGCGATTTGTCGAACCCAAAACGAAAATTCCATGAGAACTCGGGGGAGAATGCTCTTGAAAAGAAAAACATCGGGCGGCAGTTGGCAAAGTGTGGCAACATTTGGCAATGTTTGGCAGATTGCATTTCAGTTGGACAAGAAATCGGAGACTCGCCAGCGAGACACTCTTTCTCCAAGAAATCTCCAATTTCATCTCGGCGCATTCGCTCCACCTGGCACCAAGAGACGGAATAGTGCTGAATGCACACTGCACAGGCTGCACAGGTTCAAAAACGGCACTTGCTACATTTTGCTAGAAACGCATAATAATTCCATAATATCATGATACGTTTTGTTTAGCTCAAAGTAGATGGTAAAGTAATGTAAAGCTGCCACTGTTTGAATTCTGAATTTTGAAAACTTACCCCAGCGAAATTCGGGCCCATTTTTTTTAACCAAATGTTGTGCAAAGAATTCTGTGCATGATAAAGTATGTAGTATATACACGTATTTTATGTAGGTATGTATGTCTGTATGTCTGTATGTCCGTGTCGGTATGTCTGTATGCGTGTACGTGCGAATGTTTTTGAATGTGTGTGAATGTGTGAATGTGTGTATGTGTGTATGTGTGTATGTGTGTATGTGCGTGCGCGCGCGTATGTGCGTATGTGCGGATGTATGGTAATGCAACGCAATGTAATGTGATGTAATGTAATGCCTGTATATAGGTATCTGCGCATAGTTGTGTACATATATGCAGATAGATGTAGATAGATAGATAGATAGATAGAGAGAGAGCAGGAGCGACAGGAGAGATAGAAGAAAAGAGATAAGAGAGAAAGAGGAAGAAGATGGAAGAGAGAGAGAAGGAAAGATAAGAGAACATGATAGAGATAGAAGGGAGGATGATAGATAGGATAGATAGGATAGATAGGATAGATAGGATAGATAGGATAGATAGGAAAGATAGGATAGATAGGATAGATAGGGATAGATAGGATAGATAGGATAGATAGGATAGATAGGATAGATAGGATAGATAGGATAGATAGGATAGATAGGATAGATAGGATAGATAGGATAGATAGGATAGATAGGATAGATAGGATAGATAGGATAGATAGGATAGATAGGATAGATAGGATAGATAGGATAGATAGGATAGATAGGATAGATAGGATAGATAGGATAGATAGGATAGATAGGATAGATAGATAGATAGATAGATAGATAGATAGATAGATAGGATAGATAGATAGATAGATAGATAGGACAGATAGGGTAGGATAGATAGGATAGATAGGATAGATAGGATAGATAGGATAGATAGGATAGATAGGATAGATAGGATAGTTAGGATAGATAGGATAGATAGGATAGATAGGATAGATAGGATAGATAGGATAGATAGGATAGATAGGATAGATAGGATAGATAGGATAGATAGGATAGATAGGATAGATAGGATAGATAGGATAGATAGGATAGATAGGATAGATGGGATAGATGGGATAGATGGGATAGATAGGATAGATAGGATAGATAGGATAGATAGGATAGATAGGATAGATAGGATAGATAGGATAGATAGGATAGATAGGATAGATAGGATAGATAGGATAGATAGGATAGATAGGATAGATAGGATAGATAGGATAGATAGGATAGATAGGATAGATAGAATAGATAGGATTAGATAGGATAGATAGATTAGATAGATTAGATAGATTGGATAGATTAGATAGATTAGATTGATTAGATAGATTAGATAGATTAGATAGGTTAGATAGATTAGATAGATTAGATAGATTAGGTAGATTAGGTAGATTAGGTAGATTAGGTAGATTAGGTAGATTAGATAGATTAGATAGATTGGATAGATTGGATAGATTAGATAGATTAGATAGATTAGATAGATTAGATAGATTAGATAGATTAGATAGATTAGATAGGTTAGATAGATTAGATAGATTAGATAGATTAGATAGGTTAGGTAGATTAGATAGATTAGATAGATTAGATAGGTTAGATAGATTAGATAGATTAGATAGATTAGATAGATTAGATAGATTAGATAGACTAGATAGATTAGATAGATTAGATAGACTAGATAGACTAGATAGACTAGATAGACTAGATAGACTAGATAGACTAGATAGATTAGATAGATTAGATAGATTAGATAAGTTAGATAGGTTAGATAGGTTAGATAGGTTAGATAGGTTAGATTGGTTAGATAGATTAGATAGTTTAGGTAGAATAGAATAGAATAGAATAGAATAGAATAGAATAGAATAGAGTAGAGTAGAGTAGAGTAGAGTAGAGTACAGTACAGTACAGTAGAGTAGAGTAGAATAGAATAGAATAGAAATAGAATAGAAATAGAATAGAAATAGAATACAAATAGAAAAGAAATAGAAAAGAAATAGAATAGAAATAGAATAGAAATAGAATAGAAATAGAATAGAAATAGAATAGAAATAGAATAGAAATAGAATAGAATAGAATAGAAAAGAATAGAATAGAATAGAATACAATAGAATAGAATAGAATAGATTGGTAGATAGATTGATAGATAGATAGCTAGATAGATAGCTAGATAGATAGGAAAGAAAGATAGATAGCTAGCTAGCTAGCTAGATAGATAGACAGACAGATAGATAGATAGATAGATAAGATAGATAAGATAGATAAGATAGATAAGATAGACAAGATAGACAAGATAGATAAGAAAGGTAAGATAGATAAGATAGATAAGATGGATAAGATAGATAAGATAGATAAGGTAGATAAGATAGACAAGATAGGTAGGATAGATAGGATAGATAGGCTAGGTAGGGTAGATAGGATAGATAAGATAGATAAGTAGATAGATAGATAGATAGATAGATAGATAGATAGATAGATAGATAGGATAGATAGGATAGATAGGATAGATAGGATAGATAGGATAGATAGGATAGATATAGATATAGATAGGATAGATAGGATAGATAGGATAGATAGGATAGATAGGATAGATAGATAGATAGGATAGATAGGATAGATAGGATAGATAGGATAGATAGGATAGATAGGATAGATAGGATAGATAGGATAGATAGGATAGATAGATAGATAGATTAGATAGGATAGATAGATAGATAGATAGATAGATAGAGATTAGATAGATAGATAGATAGATTAGATAGATAGATAGATAGAGATAGATAGATAGAGATAGATAAGATAGATAAGATAGATAGAGATAGATAAGATAGATACGATAGATAAGATAGAGATAGATAAGATAGATAAGATAGATAAGATAGATAAGATAGATAGATAAGATAGATAAGATAGATAAGATAGATAAGATAGATAAGATAGATAAGATAGATAAGATAGATAAGATAGATAAGATAGATAAGATAGATAGATAGATAAGATAGATAGATAGATAGATAGATAGATAGATAGATAGGATAGATAGGATAGATAGGATAGATAGGATAGATAGGATAGATAGGATAGATAGGATAGATAGGATAGATAGGATAGATAGGATAGATAGGATAGATAGATAGATAGATAGATAAGATAGATAGATAGATAGGTAGTATCAACTGGGCAGCAGTTGCAGGATCAAGTTGCACGAAGTCCTTGTCCAAAAAGTAGTGCAGGCAAAGCACGCGAAGTCTTTTGCAGCGTAGCGTTCTGGTTGGCTTCGAAGCACCCACCTCTTGTGTGGGAAATATATTGAAAGGAAAATGGCCACGGCAGTGGCATATATGAAACGTCTGAGTTCCATGCAAACGAAACCTGAGTGTGTGGCACACAATCAACACGGGAGAAAAAGGAGTTTAAAGCACTCACCGCGGATCTCAGGTAAATGAATTAGGGACATCATGAATTACCGTATCCATGTAATCAACTCGGCCACCATGAAGATCAAAGAATGTTCGACATGCTTGCAAGAGCGTGTTTCCAGTATGTTCATGCACGATGTACGGTAGCATCGAAACTAGACAAAAACTGCAGGGATCACGCTCAGTCAATTGGCCGGCAGTGTTGAGACCTTGACAGTCAGATCGACTGTGCCAACATCTTCCAGATGGTGCGAAAAAGGCATGAGTGTTTCGCAGTCCTATGGTCTCATCCAGGGCACGGTCTAAAAGACCCATCGCCGTCCAAATTGACCGTCGGTCATTCAATCGCTGTTGAAAACGAATCTCTTCATCGCTGTCGAGTTGCAGTTGCAGATCCACATTGCGTGAGCCCAAATCGGTGGCTCGAGCATTCAGTGTTCTGACTTGGTCGCGGAGCTGGAACGTTTCGTTCCTCAGATGTCCTTCTGCTTCACGGCACTGGGCGTACTCATCCCTCAGGGATAAAACTTCTGCCTTCAGCTTCCGTGCAGTCCAGAAAAACCAAAGACCAAACATGCAAGTGACGGTCGCCACGAAAACAAAGAAATGCAAAAGGTCATCTGCATCCGATGATTCCAGTGGTGCATCGTCGATGCTGCAGACATCAGTTCTACCAAAGCTCGCAGCACGGGCAGTTCGGAAAAGTGTCAGTAAAAACACATATCGCAAAACGCCGGAGCCGCCGCCATGGCTGGAGTAGGCCTCAACAGGGAACTGGTTCTCTGCAGTCTCAAAGGTCTCTTCAGGCTGGTACTCATTCGGTGAGTGCTGCTCAAACTCAGAAGCCTCGTTGGTGTCAAACATCTCGTTGGATTCAAAGGTCTCTAAGGCTTCCGTCTCGTTCGCTCCAACTTTCACTGCGTTGTGGTTGGTAGAGTTGTTGAGTAGAGAATGATCGTGGTTGTGAAATGGAAGTTGTGTGGTAAATTCATTCCTGCTTTCAGCTCGCTCTTGTGCAGTCTTCTTCTTTGACGCCTGGTATGTTGGGTCCCAGGTGTACTTGATGGAACCATGTCGAACTCGATCTGCAAGAAGTTGCCTTGCAGCCATCTTTGTAAAACCATCGCCAAATTGTCTCTCAGAAGAGATCCATTTCAAGATCCCACCAATGCTCTCGACTTGTTCTCGTAGGACTCTAAGTTCAAGGTTGGTGCGCTTGTCAGTGGCACCATGGTTGATGGCATCTCGGTGGTAACTGTCGTACAAGGCTTTGGCATCAGTGACAAAGATGGGAGCCAAACTGGGATCCCTCACATTCAAAGTCTCCTTGAGGCTAGCATTTGGGTGCATGGTCATGTACCAGAAACGAACAACAAACTCAGTGGAGTCTACAGCTTGGGCGGCAGACTGAACTTCTGCTGCAAGTGAAGATCGCGCGACCCTCGGAAGTCGAAAGGATCTCCAGTCCAAAACATGGTATGGGCTCTCTGTGCCGTTGAAGGTGTCCTTGTGAGTCAAAAGAACTATGTAACCCCCTTGGCTAGACCCATCATGACGAACTCCCAAGGCAGCATCAAACATGCAGCTCAAACGAAGATCTTCCAACTTGCCCAACGGAGGAAAACGCAAATGAACATCGCTGTTGGTTTTGCAAAAACGCAAGAGTTTGTTGGCTTCTAAAAGAGCTGAAGAAAGTCCAGTGTTCATCTCGCCGCTCAACAAGGAACTGCTCGCCTGGATGTGCGGTGAAGATTGCACAGCAGGCCATTGAAGACTTCCAAGCAAACCTCTCAAAAGAGTCTGTTCTTTCTCGGTCAAAGGCTGATGGGACTGTCGGCCTTTTTCAACTGGAATTGGTTGGATCTTTTTGATGTATTCATCATGGCTCACATGCCAAGTACCATCTGTGTCTCGTGTCATGCTGGCACCGCAATACTCAAAACTCTCATCCTTCTGCCAAGTGCGAAATTGAAAAGCTGTTTTGAGCTGTGCTTCAGCTTCAACATACACTGCAGATTGTGGATCACCTCCACCTAGCATGTCATCGACGTGGAGGCATAAAAGTCCAACAAGTCGCGGTTCAGCACCATCGACAGGAGGTTCATAGAGCCTCCAGAGACAAGGATCCATAGGGTGTGCCAGCCAGCCCAAATTGCGCAGCCTGCGCGTGGCTTCTAGAAACCATCGTTTGGGTGCGTCCAACTGACCATAAACTGGTTTGTACAAAAACATCCTTGTATTTTCATCGCCTCCAAGAATTCGGAGTGCATCAGCTGGAAGTCGTACCCAAAGACGTCGTTCTTGGGGCAAACCCTGAAGAAATGCCGTGCTAACATCGGCCGACCAGCCACACCATCCAAGGCTAGCTGATATTGACAAAAACAGTGCTCTGCCAAGTCTGGTAGATGCAGGCGATGTGGTGTCAAGTTCGCCATTGAGTGCATCTTGGTCAGCATATCCACGCAGGACAAGTCTGGCTTTGGCACGAGGTGTGCCATCGCTGTTCTTTGACCATTTGAGAAGCATACGGCTTGACAACGTTCTGCCGGCATCAGCTTCTTTGGTGGTCTGAAAAGTCCATACACCGTTGTCAACGAAGCTTTTGAGTTCCTTCACCTTGGCCTGGTGGAAAAGAAGTCTGTCCTCAAGCGATAGCTTCCTTTCGTTGACCTCTGATTTGGGAGCTGCCTTGCGAAACTTTCGCTGGGCTTGAGTCTTCTGCTTTTTGCCCATCTGCTTGGCAGTCATGGCGGAGTAAGCATAGAGGCCAAGTTCGTGTCTGGTCTCGCCGTTGAGTTGGAAAACAGTGCAGCCAGTCCAAGGTGTATTAGAAATGGTGCCGGTGCCGTTGTTGAAGAAGTCAGATCTGTGCCAAATGCCCTCTGGGTCCTTACAGACAGTGACACGCACCTGGTCAAGTTTGGATAGAGGAACTGGGAGATGTGCAAGTTCTTTGGCTGATAGAGCTCGAGGATCAAATAGGGATCGACGAGGGACAACGTGGTGCCGAATCAAGCAGCCAGCTTTAAGTTCCCAGTAGTCCTTGTTGCGGTCATCCAAAGTGATGTAGCCATCTTCAAATTTCCAGCATGGAGGCAATGCTGAGACATCTAGGTCATCAATGTCAAAGGACGCCATGTTGGCTTCTTCAGGTGGCTCTTCAGGAGGTCGATCATATGGTGTTGGGATCTTTGGTAGCCGTCGATATGGTCCAAAGGAGATGGTCTCCTGTTGTTGGAAACGCCTTCTGTGGGCTGCAAAGTCCTCATCAGTGGCTGGTTGATAGAGTGCCGCTGTGTAAGGATCAAGTTCTGGAACTGGAGGTTGAGGTCGTTGAGGTTGATTTGATGAAGTAGTTGGATCGAGTTGAGGTGGAGGTTGCACTGAATCAGGACTGGGTTCTCCGGCTTGGCCCGCTGCAGAATCCATAGTGGAAGGAAGTCCAATGGCCCCAGGCTCAACAAGTCCAGGTTGAGCTGCTGTCTCCTCAAGTCCAGGGGGAGCAGCGGGAACTCCAGCATCCTGACCGGGCATAAGTCCAAGCGACCCGGCAGGTGGAGGCGAGGCTGGGAGTTCAGCTTTCTGATTGGGTTCAAGTCCAAGCGACCCATCAGGTGGTGGAGCCTCATCTAAATCCAATTCTGCAGCATCAGGAGCAACAGAAGGCGAGTAGGCCAGAGATGGCGCAAGGGATGTCTGAGAGAAGTTGGGATCCAAAAGCCTTCTGCGTTGTGCCAGAGGTTCCAAGTCGGAGTCCACATCATCAAGGACCTCTTCATCGGTGTCGATGTCGTAGATGTTGCGCTTGTTCTGGATGGTGAGATCTGCAAATCGTGTTACACCGCGGGATTTCAAACTCCTGATCACCGCCTTAGCATCTTCAAAGTTGCCCATCATGTTGGTGGTGGATTTGCCGATCTCTGGGCGCACATGGTGAGGAGCTGCTCGCAAGAGTTGGGACTTGTAGGCGAGCCAGTAGATCTTCGGCTTGCCGCTTTCGTCTTCTTCACGCATCAAAACTGTGGCTGGCCCCTTCCATCTGATTTTGACCAAATCAGGTGCTCTGGCATCTCTCCAAAAGAAGCACTTCTGTCCTGGCATCAAAGGAATGTTGGTGCCCGCATACTTTCTGAGCAATGCTCTCCGCAGCTTCATGTCGGTGTCGGCCTGAATGATGGCCATTTTGGCAGTTGCCCGACGAGCCATTTCATGCTCGAAGCTGTCGGTCAGGTGCACCGGAGTGAGAGAAGTGCCAAGAAGTTCTCCAGGAAATTCAGGAGATTGGCCAAGCACCCACTGTGCAGGAGAAAATCCAGATGTAGAAGGGCTGTTGTTCATCTGAGGGATGACGTAGCACAAAGCCTGAATGATGGCCTTGGCGCCATTTATGCCATAGTCAGTGAGGAAGACTTCCAGGGCCTTGCGAAGTACAGCATGTCGACGCTCAACTAGCGCCAATTGTTCATGTGCCTCACCAGCCGCAACAACATGTTGTATGGAGTGTGCATCCGTCCATTCAGCAAACTCAGAACTGAGCCAACCTCTGCCCTCGTCAGTGAGAAGTCTTGAAGGTGGCCCAAAGTGGTTGATCCATCCCTTTTCAAGGGCATCGATGTAGTCCTGGGACTTTTCGCTGGAGACCAGGTGTGCTTTCTGAAACTTGGTGCCCTCGTCAATCACTGACAAGATTGGAAACTTGTTGTCCCCGTTCTTCAACCAAAAGACATCAGCTTGAATGGACTCGTTGAATCTCAAGATTCTTTTGGTGGATGTAGGCGCAACTTGGTTGGGCTTTCGATACCTAAGGCAAGCATGACATAGAAATTGACGGGCAGCTTGAAGAACAGCTTCAGAGGCACCTCGGGATTCCAGCATCTCAGTCAAGGATTCTGGTGAGGGGTGTCCAAGGTTTCTATGAAGCCGCTGAACTGTTTTGACAGCTTCGGCACGGCTGCTGGTCATCAATTGGACAAGTTTTCCTTGAACTTCCTTGACCTCTTCAATCGCATACGCATCATCCCAGAGGCATGGATCTTCTGGAGCTGCCAAGGCTGCAGCAATGGAAGCAGCAAGTCCAGGCTGGTAATCTTCCATATAGCTGGTCCGGGTTCTGCCAATGCCTGGAAATTGACCTTCAAGTCTGCAATGCTCATGGCTTTTGTCACATCGAAGACACAAAGCTGCAACAAGAGCCTTCTTGGTGGAGAGTATGCCGGTCGTCTTCTGAACAGGTTTCCAAATGCCATCGGAGTCCAAACAACATGCACCATAGCAACATTGATCGAAGATGGCATAGAGACCCGGCAAATTCTTCAGCGCAGAAGTCAACCAAGAAAGTGCTCCATGAGGCTGTTCAATGTGGGCTTGTCGACCGCCATGAACTTGGGAGAGGTAGATCTCTTTGACAAACTTGAGATGATTCCTGTGGTGGTCATCTCGCTGCTGCTGGAGGGATTCCTTCTTCTCAGGAGTGGTCGCATTGATTGCTTGCATGCGACTCCAAAGTCCACAGCGAGGAGCCAAAAAGACCTCGCCTGGCATTTCCATGTTCAAACGCATCATGAATGCCTTCCGGTGGGATGGCAAGTCAAAATCCCAACCGGTCTCATAGCCGAACGATTCCACATGGCATCCAAGAGTCTCAGCAATCTGGCTCATTCGAGACTCACCAGCATAAACCTCCCAGATGACACGAGGTTTGACTTCAGGGTCGTTGAGTTCACGAGTGACAGTGGCATGCACTCGTTTTTCCTCGGTCACCAGGGCATTTTCAAACATCTTCCAGTGCTTGTTGAGGACGTTGCGTTCACCAGGTACGCCTTGAGGAGCATCAGAACCCAGAAAAACCTTCTCTTGCTGTTGATAGGTCTGAAAGTCCAAGACCTGTGAAGGCTGTGAAGTAGAACCATCTGAAGCCTGCGACTGATCGTCCAGCTTGAGGTCAAAACTTGGAGGTTGTGAGGCCAGCTCTGCATCAAAATCCTCGGTGAGTGAGGGAAGATACTCACCATGCCGTCCGACAATGATCTGTCGCCAGTCATGGCCCTCAAACATCATTTGTTGCCGCTTGAAGTTGATCACAATGCCAAGGCTTTCGATGATCGGACGCCCAAGAAGCATTGGAGTCTCGCCAGCAATGATGAAGGCCTGAACGTAGCCAAAGGAGTTGTTGATGAAGACGGGCACACGAGCAATCCAGTGGTTCGTGGTGGAATGGTCACCGCCAAAGTGGAAAGTGCGCGACGTCTTGGTCATTGCAATTCCATTCACATCAAATCCAAGTTGTCGAAGATGGTCCACATAACGGTGGAAAGGACCTGAACCCATCAAGAAAGCACTAGCACCTGGGTCAAGCATTGTGCAGTCCACTCGAGGTCGCCCTGCTAGATCTTCAAAAATCACATGTCCATGCTCACTTGGAAGACAAGTGACTGCCATTCCCTCGATGTGCTGCTTTTTGGAAGGGCTTGCAGGTGCAGAGGTAGAACCTGAGTGCTTAGCAGGTCGTGGGCATTGCGCAGCTTGGTGACCATAGGCGCCACATCGGAGGCATTGAAGCACAGCTGAAGCTCGGCCCTTGGGGTCAGGTGCACGTCGATCGCCACGAGGTGGATATCGAACAGTGGTAGAGCTTCGAGCCTTGCCCTTGCCCTTTCCGCCTTTCTTGCCATAGCCCTTTCCCTTGGAGGGAGAGTTGGATCCAGTGCTCGTAGGCGAAGCCGCTCCTTGGTCAGTCAGAGCAACGACTGGAAGAAAACCTCGGGAAAGTTTGAGATCTTGAAAACGGCGACGAGCATCAAGATATGCAGCATACGCCATGTCATACGATTCAACGTCAAAGTTGTCGCCAAGCTCAGAACCCTCAAAGGCGTCGTCATCCTCATGGAAGTAGGCTGCATCGCCATCAAATGACTCATCACCGATCCAGCTAGGGTCATCACCTTCGTAGTTCTCATCATACTCATAGTAGGCCTCTTCGAGGACCTCAGGCTCATCAAAGTCTTGATCATCCTGAGCAGCATAGGCCTTTCCACGGTGGAAAGACTTGCCAGGGAATCGATGTTGTGGTCGATCTTGGCTCACAGCTTGTTTGTAGTTCTGTCCAAGAATCACAAACAGCGCTTCTTGGACCCTGAGTTTCTCAAGCTTCGGAGCCTGGGAAAGGACAAGCTGGTGCTGCTCCTTGGTCAAATTGGCACGACGCAAAAGAATCCAGCCCTGCATTTGATCCGGAAGCTTGACTCCATGTTCTGCCAGCTTCCTCAACTTCTCATCATGCTCTGTGACAAAGTTCAACAGGGTGGTACCTGGCCGTCGTGACAAGTTGAAGTAGGCATCAAAGTCTTGGGGCATGCGAACTCTGGCATCATACCTGAAAGCTGCATCAAGAATGGAGATCACATCATCGAACGACTTCTCTTCGTCAATCTTGGTCACATCAAAACTTTCAACTAACTTCCAAGCCGTCCCTTGCAGTGAACCGATCAGATTCAAAACCGCTTCTACTGAACGTTTCTGCAGTTTCATCTTCAAATGGTATATGCTGATCCGTTTACGCCATTCTTGGTATGAGCTAGGGTTTCCATCAAACACTGGTATGTACGAGTCCTTGGTGAAGTTGGTGTCCAAGGTCGAAGAGCTCGTGCTCGACATGAAGAGCAACAAGAAAGAATTATGTGTACCAAAGAAACAAGTGAACCTGTCCAGTCTGCGGACAGATTACACAAGTAACTTATGTGTACCAAAGAAACCAGTGAACCTGTCCAGTCTGCGGACAGATTACACAAGTAACTTATGTGTACCAAAGAAACCAGTGAACCTGTCCAGTCTGCGGACAGATTACACAAGTAACTACAATTACCAGGGTCGTTGTCAGGAGCTAGAAGCACAAGTTGATGCTATCAAAGAGCTCAGCAGGAAAGTTGGAGTTGGAGTGGAAGTAGATGGTGAAAATGGAGTAGCGCAGTGGAGCCCAGGGGCGCAACCGCTCCGCTACCAGTATCAACTGGGCAGCAGTTGCAGGATCAAGTTGCACAAAGTCCTTGTCCAAAAAGTAGTGCAGGCAAAGCACGCGAAGTCTTTTGCAGCGTAGCGTTCTGGTTGGCTTCGAAGCACCCACCTCTTCTGTGGGAAATATATTGAAAGGAAAATGGCCACGGCAGTGGCATATATGAAACGTCTGAGTTCCATGCAAACGAAACCTGAGTGAGTGGCACACAATCAACAGGTAGATAAATTGATAGATAGATAGGTAGATAGGTAGATAAATAAATAGATAGATCGGAAGATAGATGTAGATAGATGTAGATAGATGTGTAGATAGATGTAGATAGATGTAGATAGATGTAGATAGATGTAGATAGATGTGTAGATAGATGTAGATAGATGTAGATAGATGTAGATAGATGTAGATAGATGTGTAGATAGATGTGTAGATAGATGTGTAGATAGATGTGTAGATAGATGTGTAGATAGATGTGTAGATAGATGTGTAGATAGATGTGTAGATAGATGTGTAGATAGATGTGTAGATAGATGTGTAGATAGATGTGTAGATAGATGTGTAGATAGATGTGTAGATAGATGAATAAATAGATGGATAGATAGATGGATAGATGGATAGATGGATAGATGGATAGATGGATAGATTGTGAATCGGAGATTACCTCCGATATGTCTGTCGTTTAGGGTTGAATTTGTCCTTGCTGATGACAATCGGTTCACAGCTTCGGCATCGCTTTCTTTTGGCGGACTTCTGCAGTAATGGGTAC